AGAGTCATACATAGTAAAAATAATAAATGTCTGACGACAGCTGTGTGGGTAGCCACGATTATTTACCCACATGCTATATACAAGTAATATGAAAAATCTGTAGTTGTCCCTTTCCGCGACCAGTGTTCGTCTCCTGTTTAACTGATATTGGAAAACACACAGGGATGTTTTTTTTATATATAATAATGTGTAGACGCTCCAGTAGGAGTGATACATAGTAAAAATAATCGTTATTTTTCAACAGTTGTGGAGGTAGCGACGATTATTTACCCACGCGCTACATACAAGCAATATGAAAAGTCTGTAGATGTCCCTTTCCGCGACCAGTGTTCGTCTCTCTTTTAATTGATAAGTGAAATCACACAGGGATGTTTTTTTTATATAATAATGTGTAGACGGTCCAGTAGGAGTCATAAATGGTAAAAATAATAAATATATTACAACAGCTGTGGAGGTAGTGACCACTATTTACCCACATGCTATATCCAAGCAATATGAAAAATCTGTAGTTGTCCCTTTCCGCGACCAGTGTTCGTCTCCTGTTTAATTGATAAGTGAAAACACACAGGGATGTTTCTGTTATATAATAATGTGTAGAGTGACCAGTAAGAGTCATACATAGTAAAAATAATAAATGTCTGAAGACAGCTGTGGGGGTAGCGACGATTATTTACCCACATGCTATATACAAGTAATATGAAAAGTCTGTAGTTGTCCTTTTCCGCGACCAGTGTTCGTCTCCTGTTTAATTTATATTGGAAAACACACAGGGATGTTTCTTTGATATAATAATGTGTAGACGGTCCAGTAAGAGTCATTCATAGTAAAAATAATAAATGTCTGACGACAGCTGTGGGGGTAGCCACGATTATTTACCCACATGCTATATACAAGTAACATGAAAAATCTGTAGTTGTCCCTTTCCGCGACCAGTGTTCGTCTCCCGTTTAATTGATAAGTGAAAACACTCATGGATGTTTCTTTTCTATAATAATGTGTAGACTGACCAGTAGGAGTCATAAATAGTAAAAATAATCATTATATTCCAAGGTTCTTGAGGTAGCAACGATTATTTACCCACACGCTACACACTGTAAAAAATCTGTGTTTAGAGAGTTAATATTTTATACATTTCGTGTTTACATTTTAAACACTACACTGCATAATAACTATACGACATGCGTATAGTTAGATCGCACATAGCCGTTAATACCTGAGCGTTTAAGTTTTAAACACTGCTAACTTGCAGTGTAAGAAACTACTGAAACATATATAATGTAGAGTCTGCCACGTAACATGTGTTTGGACTCAATATTTTAACTTTTTGATGACACACCATGTTATAAAACTGATTTGTGTCGTAGTTTTGCTGTTCAGTGTAAAACTTACATGTCAAAAAGTTGTTCGCGGAGTTTTACTATCACCTGTAAGATGTCTAAAGACTTATTCCTTCATGCCTGGTATGATTTAAAGTTAAATTAAAACATGAAACTGGCCAATGTTAAACACAGGTGTTTAGATCTACCATTCGCAGTCTAAACATACTGTGTTGAAAATACAACCCGCATTCGGGTCAATACACACCGTGTCGGAATTTCCCGATATCATGTGAATGCATATGACAACACTTCGAGCATTTACCACAATGATCTCTGGGTAGGAACGTGACATATGACGTCATTATTTATGTCGTCATATTTGTACACCATTTTGCATCGGAGACACGTCTGGCAACGGTGTTTAGTAAATCTCTATTTTTGATGTAGAACAACACCACAAGTAAGACTAACAACTTCATTTTGATAGGCACAATGTTGTTCATGATATGGTCTGGTCATTTTAGACTTTTTAATCACCTAATCTAGGCCTAGTGAGAGTCTATGGGGAAGGTCACTAATTTAGGTCTCCAAACGGCTGGGCCTCCTGCTATCAGCCTGAGATTGTTTTATTTCATGTTCCCAGTTATTCTTCTCGGGTATAGTAATATCACATCATGCTCAAAGTGTCTTAATCCCGTCAACCTTTGTCTCGACATGGACTGCTCTATGTGTTATTTTCATAGTAACAACCACAGGCAATATTTGAACCACATCATACGAAACCACAAGAATGACCCACACTTTTTAGAGCCATGTACATGGAATGGTTGTTATTACACGACAAAGAGTATTACAGCATTCCGCAAACATGTTTTCAGAAAGCATTCACAGAATGAAATGCAGGATCTTGATGGCAACAACACTGGATTAGAGACCATGTTACCTGAGCCAGACACACTTTCTTCACTTCCAACTCTATCACACAAAAGTTACACAGAACTCAATTTTGTAATGTCCTTACAGGGAAAACATAGTTTGTCAAACAGAGCAGTTGATGCCATCATTGGCGAGACATGCCACCTGTTGGAAGAGAATTACAAGCTCATTATGGAGAAGGCTAAAGAATGTTTAGTTCAGCATGGCCTCAATGACAAACTCTTAGATAATATTGAAAATGACATGCATTTTGAGGCATTAGCAAATCAGCACAGAAGGGAAAAAACCTATAAAGAACATTGCAGATTGATAGACCCTGTAAAGGTCTGTTTAGGTACTACTACAGCAGTGAAACGATGCAGGGTGTTACGAGAACCAAGATATGGCTACATCATTCCTTTTGAAAAGCAACTACAATCACTGCTTGAATTACCAGAAATTTGGAAATGGCAACAACAATCACATATGTCTACTTCAGACGTGATGTTTGACATATGTGATGGCATATTCTTCAAAGAACACCCATTGCTTAGTCAAAAATTGAATGCATTGCAGATTATGTTGTACACTGATGACATTGAAATTACAAATCCTATTGGAACGCATGTGAAAAAACACAAAATTACAGTTTTCTACTTTTCACTGGGAAATATTCCACCACAATTCCGTTCAAAACTGCATACCATTTGGTTAGTTGGCATGGGGAAAACAGTGCATCTGCAAAAAATTTGGACCAGGAAAACTCCTCAGAGATTTTCTTGAGTGTGTCACCAAACTTGAAAATGGGGGTATTGAAATGAGAATAAATGGATCTGTTCACAACATTGAAGGATCATTAGTGATTATTCAAGCAGATACTCCTGCAGCAAACTGGCTAGGCGGGTTTAAAGAGGGTGTGTCTTTTGTTGAAAAGCCCTGTCGTTCATGCGAGACCACCACTAAAAATATGTCAAAATCCTTCTTGCATTCAGCTTTTGAGCCAAGAAATTTACAAAGATATTTAGAAAGGTGCCGGGATTTAGAAACTTTGCCATCTAAAGAAACAAAACGATATTGGAGCAAACATTGGGGTATCAATCAGAGAAGCTGTCTTTGTACTATTCCTAATCATCCTTTGGTACAAACCCTCGTCCATGATCCTATGCACTTGTTGTTGGAAGGTGTGGTGAAGTACGAATTGCAGCTGTTTTTGCATCATGCAATAGCTGTGAAAAAGTATTTCTCTTTGAAATGGCTAAATATGAAAATCCAATCATTTCCATACACCTATCTCGACACAGAGAAGCCAGAAACATTGTTTCACAAAGATGTGTTTATTGAAACAAAACTTAAGCAAACTGCATCAGCGGTGCTTACGTTGTGCTCAATATTACCGTTTGTCATTGGCCCACAGGTACCCACCCAAGATATGAAATGGCATTGTCTCTTGAGCCTTTTTACAATAACACACATCGTAACAAGTCCGTACACAAGCTTGAATGCAATTGCCAGATTAGAACAGCTCATATTTGAACATCATTCTATGTTCATTCAACAATTTCCCAAAGCATCTTTCCTCCCCAAATTCCACTTCTTGGTACACCTACCTTATCAGATGAAAATGTTCGGACAAGGGAGAAGTCAATGGTGTATGCGTTTTGAAGCTAAGAATGCTTTCTTTAAGAACCTAAAGCTGAGATGTTTTAAGAATGTCTTACTGACTCTTATGAAAAAACACCAGGTAATGATGTCATACATGCAACTTGGGTTTCTAGGTCACCCTACTAACAATTTCCTGTATGTGGGAGATAATGTTGGCAAAGGCGATCGGGTGCTCCTAAAGAAACAATGGCCACAGTTGGAGATGGCATGCCAACGTACGAAGGCACTCAGAGATATATTCTATGGCGAAGAGATGGTATACAAGTGTCAACAGGCTGATATACATTGTATGACTTTTCGTAGAGGATGTGTCATAGTTCATGACTACGACAACGACACCCCGGACTTTGGAACTATAGAGTACATTTTTGTGTCTCAAAATGAAAAATACTTTCTCTTGCAAAGACTCGAAATTCTGTACTACAATTCGCATGTCCTATCTTGCTGTGTTCGTTCTACAGGAAATCAAATGGTTGTTGCTTTCAAGGCACTGCAATTCCCGTGGCCCCAGTCTGTCCGCTTTATTGGTGAAAGCATGTTTATCGCAAATAAGTGTACCCACTTCTATGAAATCTCCTCTCTTTTATAGGGCTATTTGGTTTTGCTATTTTGACGTCATTAAGTTGCTGTAATGACGTCACAAGCACCGCTGCAGTTTAATGTTGCTGTCAGATTTGTATAAAATAGTTGGCTGTTAGCCAGTTTGTGTTAAATATACTCATTCATCATGCATACAATCAAGAGCTTGTTGGATTTCGATGCAAGTTTTGTCTTGTCGGGTTACCTTGTTCTTAACATGTTTCTTTGGTTCTTTTGCTACCTTCTGATGTGTGAAAGAACAGGTCTACATACATACATTCATACACAACAAACTGTCCAGTACATGCAGTAGTTTGTAAAAGATACAATTATATTGACATTTACATTAATGGGAAGCAAGTTGGGAATCACAATTGATTAGATAAGACAAAACATGTTCAGTAAACAATATGTGGATTTTGTTCATGTCTAAGGTAGATATATTCACAATTAGAGTAGTTTTGTGTAATGTACATTTTTACAAGACAGTAGACAGACCTTCCTTTTGATAAATTCAGTCTCATTGTACACAAAATATTACTTCAACTGGAATAGATATCTATAGGGCAGACACATTCCAGAATGCCAGCATATACCATATGCAACTCTTCTCGGGATATCAGCAAACTTGTGGTTGGAGGATCTCTTGAAGAGATAAAAATGGCCGGTAAGTTGCACATATTATCATCACAATTGTAATTCTACAAATATAACTGTACCCTCTCATACTGTCAGCTGCCATTAAGTAAGTGTGTAATATGTAACTCAGATATTAGTAACATGAGGATATCACACATAAATAAAGTACACTGACACATATGCCTCCGATTCTATTTCATTGATATACATGTTTTGAGGCATGCTTGTGCCAAAGTATATTCATACAGTAAAGTAGGTATATATAATTTCAATTTGTCCACTGAATCAAAATGGAATAAAGTTTATTCATCAATTTCTATTTGTATCAGGCGACAAATTAGGATGCAAAGCAAAAAAGTTGGTTCTTGAAGAAAATGGAGCTGAGATCGAGGATGAAGAGGTTCTTGCAGTGCTTTCTCTGAAGGACAAGATAATGATTCTGGGTGAAGGTAAACAAAAGGTTAATGGGGAAGTACATTCCTCAAAATCATAGGGATCCTGTTCCTTGTGTACAGGGCTTATTCCAACAGTTTAATTGTCGAATGATTCGCATAGAACCTTCCTAATGTACATTCATTTAAAAATGCAGGCTGTTATGAGTCAATAATTTGACACTTATAGCAGTAACTGGTCATTGTATAGACTACAAGTGCAGATAATGTCAGTTACAAAATATATATTTTTAGAAAATATTACATGCGTGACAATGAAACTATCTGTAACTCTGTTACTCATTATGCAGCAGAAGAGTGGCGTAAGGAAGATGTCGTGCCTTCCTGTGCAGGTTCAACAGACGATTGCGCTGAAAATCCCACACTGAAAGGTAAAGTATGTAAGGAGATATTGCAAATTTCGATTTACATTGACCAGCACAAGAATGGTGAGTTTTCAACTACAAACGTGTCTTATCACTCTTTGAAAAAATATATAATGTGTTGAAATTGGAATCATGCAATGATTACCTGACAATAGTATCATTGTCTCCCTGATTTTGGCAACTTTTAAATTTTCAAAGTTTATTCTATTCAGTCTTATCTGCGTTTGAACCCAGATGTTTACTTCGTGTTAAGGAACTGTATCCATGACAGCTGTTCTATTCACAAGTTTGAAGAAGTTATCAATATTCATGTTGTATGTAACACTTTCTAATCCTAGATTTAGATGTTCCAGTGCTTCAAGTACCGACATTGTCACCATCTTCCAATACCCGTATCACACCAAGGACACCTTTACCCAAGTTTAGCGACTACGTCCAGATGAAGCTTATCAACAAGGAGTCGCATCTTGTTTGGAGCCAGTGTATTCGTGAAGCAGCTTATTACTATTTGGTACAATATCCAAATATCGGAAAGAGTAACCAATCAGAATATCAAACTATTGGTGGAAGTATGTATGGACAATACCCTTCGATTCGCCGTGATGGACCGCGTCCATGGGTAAGTATGTTCATATACTTAAATACCCCACCCCCCAAAAAAAAGAAAAAGAGAATGATAATTTTATTTACTTTCTAAACAGACTTTTTGTTACAGGGACAACCAACACTGACAAGTGGTTTTATGCATTATACACTTTATGTTTTCAGTCAGCATTTGCAAAGGACCTTTCAAGTAGAATACGCCATGTCAGATGGTCTGAAAATAGGAAATCCCTTTTGCCAAACTCTGAAACCATTGGGGATTTTAACCCATCACCAGCAAAGTCGTTGTGTCTGGCACAGGATACTAGGTCTCTGAGCAGTAAGCTTCGAAAAATACCAGAAGAGGAACTGGAACAGCATTTACTAAAGCTTTGGAAACTCAGTGAAGACATCGAACAGAAACACCTCAAAGATGAGAGGCTTCTCAGGGTGGCAAAGGATATTAACATTCTATTAAAGGAAACTTACGTCAACAGACGAGAGTGGATAGAAGCCCAGCGGGAGAGTGGAAGTGTCAAACAAATAACTGACCGTTATCCATGTTTCACCAATCCCATCTTTGTAAGTTCGTCTATTTCAATGTTAAAAGAAATAGGCTTCATGTTTTAAAGTGAAAAAAACCCTTTGAAAGTAACACAAGAAAAGACTCTATACAGTGTGTGAAATGGCTGTACCGTTACCATCCTAAAATTTGTAAGTCTTTGATTAGTAGGTATGATTGAAAATAATACAGAAATATGTTAAGACTGTTTAGTTCACGGTATTGTTAACGGTAAAGGCAATAAAGTCTTTTTCAGGTCTTTGCTGAACTGAAGCTCATTAAAGGCAAGGATCTCTGGACCAGTGCCCAGAAGAACATTGACTGTTTGTTTGACATCACCAGGTCGCTACAGAAGGGAGATGGAAAGGAGGTATGTCAAAAGAGTGAAGTGTAATATTCAAAAAGTTAATGACCTACCATCTTCAGGGAGGAAACTGGACTTTTAAAGTCAGTTAACTCTCTTGCCTCGGGAAGATGATGACCTACATGTACCAATAAAATTCAAATCTCAGCATCTCCAAAAACAAAAACTCTATGATGTTTTCGAATCGCCACATTCTAGTTATACTTTCTTTCTGATAGTTAATGGAACAACTTAGCAGTGATTATTATCATGTGATGACGCTTGTGGTGTTGTTGTTGAAATATCTAAATGACAACACTCATATGTTCTCCTTTCACAGGGACTTGAGGCAGATATTTCATCCTTCCTGTGCATGGAAAAGAAAAGTGCCTATGACAGAGGAAAGGGTAGAAAAACCGCTTTAATATTAACAGTCCACCGCGTAAGTCACGAAGTAAGAAACTTCATCTATTGTCCAGTATGTGACCCTTCAAATCATATTTAAGTGAGTGATTTGGGTTTAATGCCACTTCGAACAGTATTCCAGTTATATAGCGGCGTGTCAGCTAAATTTGGGAGGAGGAAACCCACGAGACCCACGATGCTGATAAACGTAGAAACATAATCGGGGCGGACTGGGATTCAAACTCACAATCACAGGTTTCTGGTGTGCCAAGGGACGCACCTCTGCACGACGAATTTGAGACGACTGGGCCACCCGTGTCCGTCATATTTAACGTCATATTAATGAGAAGCATTGCTCTAGTAGTATTTTATACATTTAAAAAAAATTAATGCTATACAATTCGGTCTCACTGGGGTCTTACATTGTTTTTTTGATTATTTCAGGATTTTTCACCTGACGAAGTAGACAAGGCTGTACAGAAAGTGTCTAACGAACATTCACCAAGTCTGATGGTGTTTGTGAATGATGATGCAATTACTCATGCCATTGTCAAAGCTGATAATGTAAACCTCTCTTCTTGTCCAACATTCAGAAAGTCAGTGCTCTACCTGTTGGCAGTGTACTATATTGCTTGGATATCCTATCCAAGACAGTATTCTCAGATTCTTGGCCTCTTACAGCAATTGGTTTTGGGTGAAGTGTTCACTGAACAGAAATCCAAAAAGTATCTGCAGTTTGCTCACATTTTGACTAATTTGTGGCCTGTAGAACAGGGGTTCTAAAGCCCATTGCATTCAGTGTCATGGGACATCAGACTTAGATTTACTGACAGCGTTCAGTGTTATATTGTTTGTTTAACATAGTTTTGCTATTCAGAGTTAAAGTATAATTATGCAAAACACAATTCCTACTGTCACAATAATGGTACTATTCCAACGAATAGCATTTAGGTTCTTGGCCTCTTACAGTAATTGATTTTGGGTGAAGCGTTCACCGAACAGAAATCCAAAACGTGTGTGCAGTTTGCTTACATTTTGACTAATTTGTGGCCTGCAGAACAGAAGTTCTAAAGCCCATTGCATTCAGTGTCATGGGACATCAGACTTAGATTTACTGACAGCGTTCAGTGTTATATTGATTGTTCAACATTGTGTGTTTTAATAGTTCGGCTATTCAGAGTTAAAGTATAACCATGCAAAACACAATTTCTGTTGTCACAATAATGATACAATTATCTTTCGTTGTGAATAGAGGAGCTTGTGTCATCCAGGTATGTCATATTACAAAAGATGATATAAACATGCTGTCAAGAATAAATCTCATTACTTACTAAACATCTTCTTTGTGTTGTGAGTCTTTAGTCTGATTATATTATACAGATAGATAATGCCCACAATGTATTTAAATGTCCAAGGATCTCTCTCTCTCTCTCTCTCTCTCTCTGTGTGTGCAGTACATGGACATCAAATGTTCACACATTTACATGTTCTTGGACAGTACTTGTTTACTTGTGTTTAATCGCCAGATGTTTAATTTCTAAACACAAGTAGCAATGTAAACACGTTTTTGCGTTTAAAAGGGTGAGACATTGGTTAAACAGCGTTAGGTGATTATATTGTAAACACCAGTACCGTTTAGAAACTAAACTATTGTTTACTTCGTAAACACTTGTTTATAACTGTCAGTGTTTAGATAATAAACACAAAACAGTGTTTAAAAAGATGAGACAAATAAGCGTTTAATTTTGTGTTTAATATATAAACACTCATTTTTAGAGTGCATGCAAGCAATATGAAAAGTCTGTACTTGTCCTTTTCCGAGACCAGTGTTCGTCTCCTGTTTAATTGATAAGTGAAAACACTCAGGGATGTTTATTTTATATAATAATGTGTAGACGGTCCAGTAGGAGTCATACATAGTAAAAATATTAAATATCTTACGACAGATGTTGGGGTAGTGACCATTATTTACCCACATGCTATATACAAGTAATATGAAAAGTCTGTAGTTGTCCCTTTCCGCGAGAAGTGTTCGTCTCCTGTTTAATTTATATTGGAAAACACACAGGGATGTTTCTTTGATATAATAATGTGTAGACGGTCCAGTAAGAGTCATACATAGTAAAAATAATAAATGTCTGACGACAGCTGTGGGGGTAGCCACGATTATTTACCCACATGCTATATACAAGTAATATGAAAAGTCTGTAGTTGTCCCTTTCCGCGACCAGTGTTCGTCTCCCGTTTAATTTATATTGGAAAACACACAGGGATGTTTCTTTGATATAATAATGTGTAGACGGTCAAGTAAGAGTCATACATAGTAAAAATAATAAATGTCTGACGACAGCTGTGGGGGTAGCCACGATTATTTACCCACATGCTATATACAAGTAATATGAAAAGTCTGTAGTTGTCCCTTTCCGCGACCAGTGTTCGTCTCCCGTTTAATTTATATTGGAAAACACACAGGGATGTTTATTTTATATAATAATGTGTAGACGGTCAAGTAAGAGTCATACATAGTAAAAATAATAAATGTCTGACGACAGCTGTGGGGGTAGCCACGATTATTTACCCACATGCTATATACAAGTAATATGAAAAGTCTGTAGTTGTCCCTTTCCGCGACCAGTGTTCGTCTCCCGTTTAATTTATATTGGAAAACAAACAGGGATGTTTATTTTATATAATAATGTGTAGACGGTCCAGTAGGAGTCATACATAGTAAAAATATTAAATATCTTACGACAGATGTGGAGGTAGCGACGATTATTTACCCACGCGCTACATACAAGCAATATAAAAAGTCTGTAGTTGTCCCTTTCCGCGACCAGTGTTCGTCTCCTGTTTAATTTATATTGGAAAACACACAGGGATGTTTATTTTCTATAATAATGTGTAGACGGTCCAGTAGGAGTCATAAATGGTAAAAATAACAAATAAATTACAACAGCTGTGGAGGTAGTGACCACTATTTACCCACACGCTATATCCAAGCAATATGAAAAATCTGTAGTTGTCCCTTTCCGCGACCAGTGTTCGCCTCCTGTTTAATTGATATTGGAAAACACACAGGGATGTTTCTGTTATATAATAATGTGTAGACGGTCCAGTAAGAGTCATACATAGTTAAAATAATAAATGTCTGAAGACAGCTGTGGGGGTAGCGACGATTATTTACCCACATGCTATATACAAGCAATATGAAAAGTCTGTAGTTGTCCCTTTCCGCGACCAGTGTTCGTCTCCTGTTTAACTGATATTGGAAAACACACAGGGATGTTGTTTTTTTATATAATAATGTGTAGACGGTCCAGTAGGAGTGATACATAGTAAAAATAATCGTTATTTTTCAACAGTTGTGGAGGTAGCGACGATTATTTACCCACGCGCTACATACAAGCAATATGAAAAGTCTGTCGATGTCCCTTTCCGCGACCAGTGTTCGTCTCCTGTTTAATTGATAAGTGAAAACACACAGGGATGTTTATTTTATATAATAATGTGTAGACGGTCCAGTAGGAGTCATACATAGTAAAAATATTAAATATCTTACGACAGTTGTGGGGGTAGCGAAGATTATTTACCCACACGCTATATACAAGCAATATGAAAAGTCTGTAGTTGTCCCTTTCCGCGACCAGTGTTCGTCTCCTGTTTAATTGATATTGGAAAACACAAAGCGATGTTTCTTTGATATAATAATTTGTAGACGTTCCAGTAGGAGTCATAAAGGATGCAGTTGTACGATGATTCAAAGGATGTGTGGTAAATATTTTCATGCAGAAAACATGACAGAAATCTGCAAAGAGAATGTATTTTAAGCTTTAAGGTCAAGAGCGAGGTTGCTATTTGGCACTTTTGTACGACGTTGCATGTGTTTTGCATCACAATGAGCAATATGACATCATAACAGTTGACCCGTGAAGATCCAGGGTAGAATAGGTCTTAAGCAACCCATTCTTGCCCTAAAAGGCGACTATGCTTGTCATAAGAGGCGACTAATGGGATTGGGTGGTCAGGCTCGCTGACTTGGTTGAAGCATGTCATTGATCCCAATTGCGTGGATTGATGCTCATGATATCAATGACAAGAATAGGTTGCTGAAGACCTAATCTACCCCGGGTCTTCACGGGTCTGATAAGTTTGTGTGAAGTATTACAGTGTAAAGGAACTGCTGGACATATAGAGCACCATATTGTGTTTACAGGCTGTTGTCAGGGATTCCGTAAATTCAGATCAACAACCCACTCAAAATACTGGACTCAACCCATGCCACTTCACTCAATATATTTTTGTAATACAAAAGATTTGGCGTTTTATTTAGTCGTGGTAGAATGGAGATTTAATATTTGAAACCTCATGCTGCGCTTTTGGTTCCAAATTCAATTTAGCATGGTTAAATTTACAGGTAACCTAGCTCTACATTGAAAACACAGTATGTTTATGTCCTAAATATGATGTGCTGCCCTTTTGAAGCTTTTAGGTCAGGGGTATAAAAATATTTCTAAGTTCAAAACATGAAACAAGATACCGGTATATTTTATGAGAAATTCCACTTATCAAAAATTGCAGTGCACCTCCTCTATATTAGTATGGAAACTGTTCCCTAAAATTTCAAAAGAATGCATGCAGTGCTTAAAATGTTTAAGTTGAAAAAATATAAGTAACCCAATGAAAAACAGCTGTATTTTTTCAGAAAATCCAAAAATTGAAATCAAACCTCACACAGCACCTGTCCTATTGATACACAAAGTTTGAGAAGAATCTATGCTGTAGTTTTCAAGTTATAAGTCACACTAGAAAATGTCCTCGGAAAGATTAAATCCCCAACCTTTCATGGTTAAGAAACCATTAATTTCAAGTCGGGCTCATGAAAATAACATTAAGGTTGCCTGACTGGCTAACTTAATTTGCTTGTGAACTATAACACATTATTCAGTTGACAAATATGAAACGAGAATATCCTGTTAAAATTGTCACAAGCTAGATATATTAAATAGCTGAGTTCTGATATTAAGGATGTACTGTAATATTTGTCATGCTTGTTATGATCCATTGTTGTAGTTCTGCAAGTGACAGAAACCCAATTGATTTTGACTGTATTTCTAACAAAAGTAACATTCACTGAAACTTGAATACCAGATTTTATTCCTTGTATTTGTGTACAAGTGCATTAACACTGTCATACACGCTTTATTTGTAAATTTAAGTTTTAAAGGACAAATGAAATGAAATTAAGACTTAAAACTAAGCACCATACCACAAAAAACTTTTCAGTTTGCAGTTATTGAGGCATTTATTTTGTGATATATTTGCAGTAGGGCTGGGACGAGTTCAAATTTACTACCCGGTTACCCACTGCAAGTCTCAAGAGTAGGGAACAAAATGTCAGATTGGTAATTGTTTTACCGCAGCCCTGGCTAAAGCTATTCAGATACATGTATCAAACAATCAGATCATGCGTACACTGAAGTTGACTGAAGCTTTATCTTTACTCAAACATTTACAAGTCAAAAGGAATGAGTGCATCATCAGAAAATAATGTTAACATTAGCGACTTGTAGTGTAACCACTGACCTATAGTATGTTTTTGTCTTTAAACAATATATAACGTGACTAACCACGGGTCTGGGTAGTCCTGTGGGTACCCGGGTCCTATTCAGGGCCCACAAGACTCGAGTACCCGAGTCACCCGTCCCGGCCCTAATTTGCAGTGTTAAATGGTAGTGTTTTCTATTTTGGAAACAGAACACAAACTCAACATATGAGTGTTAGAACATAGAGACTTCCCGAGACTTTCAACACATCCTTTGGTCTAAAATTGTGCATGATACACAAAAAATAATAACGGGTGGTATAAAATGATTTCCCAAGGTTTGGTTGAAAAGTTCAATGCCGCTTATTGTTAATGGCTAAAATGACAATACATGAGCAAACTCGATTATTTACAGACCGCCGTCATTTGGTTGAAATATTGGTGAGTGCTTCGTTAAACAACAACAAACAAACAAATCTGACACAACTAACCCAAAGGATCTAAGAGGCACGCGTGGATAACATAATATGTATTTTCCGATACTAAACGATATGTCTTGAGCCATATCGATTTTAATCATACTTGGTGGCAAACAAATTTTGCATTCGCACTGTTGACACAACCACAATAAAACCGACCATAACCCACCTAAGAGACTTCCTGGAAGTTATAGTAAGCGATCTGTACGTTAATATAACAACAAGCCGACCTTCGACAGTAAAATGCGTAAACAGATCCGCCATGACAGTAGCACTGAGCGCAAGTAATTAATGAGAAGAGTCGCGTCCCTTGCAAGATGTATACCACTCGATAAACGTAGCGCTGTGGCCTGGTCTGGGAAAGGGACGTATACTGACTCGTTTTAACACTGGGATTGAATCTACGTTTCAGAACGTTCAGCGAACACAACAACGATGGACGTGGTGATTGTGTCTGCGGTCCGTACGGCTATAGGTAAATCATATTTTGATTTTTTTTATATGACAGTGATAGTTTGAACCTCTGAATTAATCTAATGGATTAAAATGTCAATGACACCTTTGTATTACAACAGAATAATCATTTATTAATCGACTATTCCCCGCTGTTTTTTAAGTATTTTGTTTTTGTTTGTTTGTTGCTTACGCCGCACTCAGCAATTAACAATGAAATACTATATAGTTTGAGAGACTCGACTATCAATCTATAAACAAACTACCTACATCACAGTCAGTGCGGCCATAATCACGTAAACAAGCACATTTCTCATGTAGTCATAATTATTTTTTTTATAAGTTCATTTTATTTATTTTTTATAATGCAATTAAAACAATCTTGTCTGTTGTTCACTAAAGCTAAGCAATGTTTTAATTTAACAGTGATTCGATAATGTAGGTTGACTGCTGGTATTTGTTGACCAGTGCATATTGTCACATGAGGTGATCGGGTGCCCTGGCACATCCTACCATGAGGTGATTGCGAGGACATATCTGATTGGTTACCGAATGTCACACTCTCTCCTGAAGTAAAACATTGTTTTTTTACCAAAATCATTGTTTAGGAGGATTTGTTTTTGGCCAACCTTCAGAATTTAGTACCACAGATGATCCCCATGAGAAGTTGTGGTACTGTGAACTGAAGGTGCACCAAAATATGTACGTTCTGGTCTGCAGAAGATGTACAGATGGATCTCAGCTGTTCAATAAACATTGTCCTCGTGTATATATCATCATATATTGTTTCACCTGATTTATGTTTGATCTTAGTCACATATATTTTCAATACTCAACTAACATATTAAGTAACTGCATTAGGAGTGCTTACACCACTAAAATATCAATTAATGTGTTGGGTGTTCGTGAATTATATGCAGCTGTGTGTTTGGGGAAATAAAAGTGTGTACTATATGCAATAAAGTATGGTAGTTACTAGCACAGGGATGCAGGTACAACAGTAAGTGTTATCATGGACCTTAGTAACCTCGATAGGAAAAACACTTCAGATTATTATTATATGATCTGAGCTATTAGTAATAATTTCAAATGAATTTTCCTTTTCATTGTATATTAATAGAAAAAAATCCAATTAGGAAGGTCCACTCAATTATTTACAGACAGCTGTTACATAGCTCGAAAATTGCTGAATGCAGCATTAAACAGCAAACAAACATTTCAATTAGGAAGGGATAGCAGTGTGATGAATAATCAATTTTATCAAGCTAAGTTTCAAACAATTATATTTTGACTATATGTTTCATGAGTAAGTTTGGCATTTACAATTTTATAAAGTTTTTCTTAAAATATAAATTATTTAGCTGTTTAAGTTATAGCACTTTCAGATGTTTACATGTTGTACACTTCATCTCATATTTTAGTTGACCTTTATGATTAATTATAATGTGACTAGCCTACTTTGGTTTATATTTTAAAAGATTTTGATTTCAGTTCTGGCTAAGTTAAAGTTACCAAACACGAGGAGGAGTCATTGGTCTAGTTACAGCACGGTTCGGTTGGCCTTTGATTGACGTGGGAAAGCGGAGCCTCGAGGTGACTTTCGCAAACCGTGCTGTAACTAGACCAATGGCGAGTCAAGTGTGTAGTAACTGACTTGTAGCACTACTAGCGAGCGGTGATGGAAATAGCGGGATAGGTGCATCATATTTGTAGTGTATATGCAATCAAGGTTTGTAATTGTATGCATATGTATGGGTCAGAGGTCAGGGTCTCGTTTTGGGATTAAACATGTGCGAGCCAATATCAATGGCGGCGCCCTGTATATTCATTACATTGACGACAAATAAAAGTCTTCGTTTCGCTCCTTCAAGGATCATATCATTTATCAACAGAGCAAGAATCATCAAGAACATTATATTGGCGACGAGGATACACAGATGAAAAAAAAAGTATCTAATCATTGTCATGGCTGTTTCATTATAAAGCGTACCCGTGTTTAACGCATTCGATGTACATGCCAACGGAAACAGTGGTCCGCAATGGAAGCAATGGTTGACCCGTTTTGAAAGACTTATGGTTGGTCTGAACATTGTTGAGCCAACTCAAAAGCGTGCATGGTTGTTACATCTAGCTGGCCCCACAGTCGAAGAAATATTCGACACTATTCCAAACACAGGGTATGACAAGGCAGTTAAAGCACTCACTGACTATTTCATTCCTATCGTTAACACGGCTTTTGAAATCTTCAACTTCCGTCACGCAAAGCAAAATGTAGGTGAAAGCATTGACGCTTACTGCACAAGATTGAGAAAATTAGCGCAAACCTGTGACTTTCACGATGTTGACAAAGAGATATTCTCGCAGATCGCCTTGACATGTACGTCTCAGAGACTCAGAAGATGAGCATTACGAGAAGATTTGACAAGATTGCTTACTGCAGGCAGATCTCTCAAAATTAGCGATTTTCAAGCTAGTATAAATGCTGTATCTCATTCACACTCACAGAACAATCATTCCGCACACAGACAATCTCGATCACAGTCTTGCCGAAATAAGAAGGATAAAATTCAATCCCACTTGCAGCAAGGAGATTCTAGGTCAAGATACGAACGATCAAGAGCCAGACAATTAAGTGGGTCTAACCAAACTTGTTATTTCTGTGGAGGTTCGTATCCCCATGTTGGAAAGTGTCCTGCCAAGGGTAAGAAGTGCAACTATTGTGGCATTTTAAATCACTTAAAAAAATTGGGGCATTCTAGAAATAGAGACAATGAGCCAAATTCTCACACAAACAAGGAAAGAATAAACATTGTACACACAAACTCTGACAATCAATACCTTCATGACTCTTGACACTGATGAAGAATATGTTTATGCCATCCAATGTAAGGATTCAGTCAACATGACAATGGACACAATGGAAACAACAAAATTCCAGTCCGGGAACTGAACATTGCTGGAAAATTAGTCCCATGTGTGATAGACTCTGGCGCAGCTGAAAACATGCTTGACCAAGCAACATATGATGCCCTCAGACAGGAAGGGCACATAATTGGAAATCTTAGAGACTCTAAGAGACATTTTTTCGCATATGGATCACAAGACCAACTGTATGTGGTTGGGAAGACCGTTCTACCTGTGCAGTATGGAAACATAAAACAGGACTGTGAATTTTATGTGGTATCAGGTAAATGTGGCAATCTTTTGACTTATCAGTCTGGTGAATCGTTGGGTATCATTAATATCGCCAGAAATGTGGAATCATCTGAGGTGGAAGACATTATTTGTGTTTTCCAGAACTGTTCAATGGAATTGGCAAAATCAGGAACAAACAGATAAAATTACATGTTGACAAATCAGTACAACCAGTCTGGCAAACACACAGGCGAATCCCATTCCACATACGGAAGGACGTGGAAGAAGAAATGAAAAGATTAGAAGATCTGGACATCATAGAGCCAGTACCGAATGAGCCCACTCCATGGGTCAGTCCCATCGTTGCAGTACCTAAGAAGTCGTCAGGCATCCGCGTATGCGTTGACATGCGCGAGGTCAACAAGTGTATTCGACCTGAAAATCACATTTCACCAACTATTGATGACCTCATCTCAGAATTAAATGGATCAGTCTTCTCCAAGCTAGACTTGAATGCAGGATTCCATCAGTTGGAGTTGAGCCCAGAAAGTCGCTATCTGACCACATTTAGCACCCATGCAGGAATCCGACGATACCATCGCCTCTCCTTTGGGATAAATTCTGCTTCAGAGATATTCCAGAATGTCATTTCAGAAGTTATTCAAGGGATTCCCGGATGTAGAAACATCCAAGATGACATAGAGGATTAGCCACTGTGTTCGGTTGTTACCGATAAATCTACACACAAGTGATTTATCTGTCATGATTAGAACGAGGCTTTGCCGAGTTCTAATTGTGGCAGATTAATCACAAGTGTGTAGATTTTTCGGTAACAACCGAACACAGTGGTTAATCATTTTCTCCCATTACAATACGCCATAAAAAGTCGAGCTCGTAGTTGAAGATTTCCCGTGTTTAGTAACCACTTGGGATTCCCCCCAGCCTCGTTTTCGAATATGCTCAGTGAGACAACTGCACCATAAACAGGTAAAAAGGATCTAGCAAAGACAACTCACACGCGTTTTCCATGACAGGCAAGCTACTTGTTAGCATTCATGTTATGTTTTTTGTTAACTATTAAAAGCTGATGGGAGTAACGTTTTGAGAATTAGTAATGTGATTTGATATTTGTCAATGGTTTTGGATTACTCGGCCCATAACTTTATTTGCATTCACCTCGGGTGACTATCATTCTCAGTGCGCAACACTAAATAGGCCCCCCTTTTTGGTGTATGTATGTAAATATGTTATTCGTTTATTTGTTCGCTAGAAACAAATGTTATTAACCCAATTGAGAGGAAATTAAATATTGTCTTAAATATTGTGAAATATTGTTAACGAAAAGCAAGGGTCCAAGGAACTGTCAGCAGGACTGATCAGGCAAGATTCTATAAATACCAACTCAAGCAACTGATCAGCTGATTAAATCTTCTCAAATCCATCAATGGATTGTAATATTTTTGGACGAATTTTCCTCTTTAAAACTAATTTTACAGTGAATAATTTAATATGTAAAATGATGATTATTTCATGTCTTTTTTGTTTTTATTTTGTTCCTGAATATGGTGAGCACATGTGTTTTTATTAAAAATATTTAAAAAAACTTGTTCAATGGACAATTTTTCTTTTGAACATAATATTTAACATCATGACACCAAAAATGTTACTAAATGAGTCATCTAATTTCCCCATATTTGTGAATGACAAGAAACAGTGTGAATTTGACAAGCACAATAATTTATTGTGTGTGAAACATAAATACATAGGATATATGTAAACAATAAATTATCATTTCAGTAGTTCTACAAATATTTGCATTTTAATACCCTTGTAATTTTACATTGTTATTTTACTGCAAGAGTTACCTCCAAACTTTATTCTTTTGTT